GATTGGGTCAAGATCTTGCCACACTCAGAGCAGTGATATGGCTTCTCCCCTGTGTGGGTGCGCTGGTGGTTGCTCAGTTGGAAGGACTGGGTGAAGCTCTTCCCACACTCAGCACTGATATGGCCTCTCTCCTGAGTGGATGCGCTGGTGCTTGGCCAACTGGGAGGAATAACTGAAGCTCTTCCCACACTCAGAGCACTGATGTGGCTTCTCCCCTGTGTGACTGCGCTTGTGCTGGGCTAGGCTGGAGGACTGGGTGAAGCTCTTGCCACACAGAGAGCACTGATATGGCCTCTCCCCTGTGTGGACGCGCTGGGGCTGGGCCAGGTTGGAGGAATAACTGAAGCTCTTCCCACACTCAGAGCACTGATGTGGCTTCTCCCCTGTGTGACTGCGCTTGTGCTGGGCTAGGCTGGAGGACTGGGTGAAGCTCTTGCCACACAGAGAGCACTGATATGGCCTCTCCCCTGTGTGGACGCGCTGGGGCTGGGCCAGGTTGGAGGAATAACTGAAGCTCTTCCCACACTCAGAGCACTGATGTGGCTTCTCCCCTGTGTGACTGCGCTTGTGCTGGGCTAGGCTGGAGGACTGGGTGAAGCTCTTGCCACACAGAGAGCACTGATATGGCCTCTCCCCTGTGTGGACGCGCTGGGGCTGGGCCAGGTTGGAGGAATAACTGAAGCTCTTCCCACACTCAGAGCACTGATGTGGCTTCTCCCCTGTGTGACTGCGCTTGTGCTGGGCTAGGCTGGAGGACTGGGTGAAGCTCTTGCCACACAGAGAGCACTGATATGGCCTCTCCCCTGTGTGGACGCGCTGGGGCTGGGCCAGGTTGGAGGAATAACTGAAGCTCTTCCCACACTCAGAGCACTGATGTGGCTTCTCCCCTGTGTGACTGCGCTTGTGCTGGGCTAGGCTGGAGGACTGGGTGAAGCTCTTGCCACACAGAGAGCACTGATATGGCCTCTCCCCTGTGTGGACGCGCTGGGGCTGGGCCAGGTTGGAGGAATAACTGAAGCTCTTCCCACACTCAGAGCACTGATGTGGCTTCTCCCCTGTGTGACTGCGCTTGTGCTGGGCTAGGCTGGAGGACTGGGTGAAGCTCTTGCCACACAGAGAGCACTGATATGGCCTCTCCCCTGTGTGGACGCGCTGGGGCTGGGCCAGGTTGGAGGAATAACTGAAGCTCTTCCCACACTCAGAGCACTGATGTGGCTTCTCCCCTGTGTGACTGCGCTTGTGCTGGGCTAGGCTGGAGGACTGGGTGAAGCTCTTGCCACACAGAGAGCACTGATATGGCCTCTCCCCTGTGTGGACGCGCTGGGGCTGGGCCAGGTTGGAGGAATAACTGAAGCTCTTCCCACACTCAGAGCACTGATGTGGCTTCTCCCCTGTGTGACTGCGCTTGTGCTGGGCTAGGCTGGAGGACTGGGTGAAGCTCTTGCCACACAGAGAGCACTGATATGGCCTCTCCCCTGTGTGGACGCGCTGGGGCTGGGCCAGGTTGGAGGAATAACTGAAGCTCTTCCCACACTCAGAGCACTGATACGGCTTCTCCCCTGTGTGGATGCGCTGGTGCCGGGCCAGGGTGGAAGAGTGGTTGAAGCTCTCCCCACATGCTGTGCACTGATGTGGCTTCTCCCCTGTGTGGACAACCTGGTGTTGGGCCAGCTTGGAAGAGGAGATGAAGCTCTTCCCACACACAGAGCAATGATGAGGCTTCTCCCGTGTGTGCATGCACCTGTGCCTGGCCAGGCTGGAGGGCTGCCTGAAGCTCTTCCCACACTTTGTGCAGCAGTGTGG